CCATCACCACCAGCTGTTTCAGTTTTTCCAGGACTGGATTTTTTGGTGTCTGATATTGTCAGCTGTGACTGGAAGTGGATCCAGAAAATCTAAAACCATTACGGACTCTTCCACCACCAGTGATACCGCCACTGGATCTGCCAGTGTGAGGTGGCACAATGCATCCACATTAGCTACTTGGCCCCTCATGGTGTTCCAACTTGTAATTATCTGCACTTAGTATTGTAGCCCACCACTGAAATTGGCCTGAAGCTATGGGTGGCACGGCCCTGTGCTCTTGAAGTAGACCTAACAGGGGTTTGTAGTCCATTATTGTTACAAATTTACATCCCTAAAAGATGTTGGTGGAACTTTCTAACTCCAAATATGTCCACCAAACTTTCCTTCTCTATCTGGGTGTATGTACACTCTGCATTAGCCTAAGTGCTAGATGTGTATGCAACTGGGCGTTCCTCTCCATTGGGCCACCTATGAGCTAACACTACCCCAATACCGTATGGGAAGGCATTGCATGTTAATACCAGATCTTGCTTTGGATCATAGCGTGCTGACACCTTAGGGGATGATAGCTGTTTCTTCACTTTCCTGAAAGCTATGGCTTGGCTGTGCAATTATTTCCAAGGCTGACCGTTTTTTAGGAATTGATTCAAAGGTGCCAGGATTAGTTCCAGGTTATGTATGAACTTTCTACAATAATTCATGAGCCCAAAGAAAGACCTGACCTCTGGTACAGGCGTGAAAGCCAGGCCACCTTTCATCGCCCTCACTTTATCTTCCAATGGATGTAACCTGGTCTCGTCGACCTTGTAGCCCAAGTAGGTCACTTGGGGTGCCTAGAACACACATTTTTCCCTTCTAACGCATGCGTCTGGCTGGCAGAAACATTTAAGCACTATGTCCAAGTTCTCTAAATGCTCTTTAGTGGTCTTCCCTGTTATCAGTATGTCATCTAAAATGTTCTCCATCGTACACTGATAATTGCACAGGCTGATGATACCCCAGGTGGCAGTTTCATATATATTGGTACAAACCTTGATGGGTATTAATTGTAGCAAAATTCTAGGAATCCTCATCCAACCGCTATTGCAAGTATGCATGGCTCACGTCCAGCTTCGTGAAGGACAGCACCTCCCCCACCATTGCGTATAAATCCTCTGTGCAAGGGAATGGGTATTTATCCAGCTGCCAGAAGCGGTTTATCATTTGTTTGAAATCCCTACAAAGGTAAACTGACCCGTTGCACTTCACAATCAGTATGATTGGTGCTGCCCATTCCACAAACCATACTGGTTTGATGATTCCTTGACTTTCCAGCCTTCTGATTTCTGCCTCTACTTTTGCCCATGATGCAAATGGCACTGGGCGGGCCTTGCAGAATCATGGAATTGCTTCCTGGTCAACATGCAAGGTGGCCTTGGCTCCTTTGATAGTCCTTAGACCTTTGTGAAGAACATATGGTTATTTAATTAGGACTCCACTCAGGCAGCCATTTGCTAAGGCTCAACATTTTTCGATATCTGGGTGAATCTTTTTCAACCAATTCCACCCCTTCCAGCCTGGGCCTGAGCCTTTTAATACAATCAGTAGTAACTGATACAGCTACTTCTCGTAAGAGACCGGAACCAAAGTTGTACCCTTTATCTGTAAATTGAGATTCCCCTGTGTAGATTCTTAGTCTAGCTGAGTTCTTGCACAAACTTAAAGTGTTGGAGTCCAGAGCGAATTCTGTTAAAGACTTGTTCTGCGATCACTGATACAGCTGCACCAGTAACTACCTCCATCAGACCGGAAGACCATTTAACCAGACGTCTTACTAAGTAACTTAAATGTTCCAAACCAAGGTGTAGATGGACTTTCCACGGGGTGCACTCTCCTGGGGACTGGCCTATGAGTTCTCTTACTCAATTTAGGCATAGTGGGACACTTGCTGCCTTGAGTCTGCATACTGACAGCAACCTCAGTGGCTTGCCAGCCTGGATCCCAAAGAAAATTTTCACCGTTTGGCCAAGGCTTGGCTTGGTTTTGCAGTGGGCTGACATAGAGCCCCTATGTTCAGGATATGTCACGAGTGAGGCTATGTAATTGACTTCACTCAAGTGGCATTCCCCAAGCTCAGTCAGCCTGGCGAGGGTGTCCATTTCTGTTGGAAAAGCCTGTAACTCATATGCTCCACTTGCTGCGTTTTCTAATGGTAAAGCCTGTTGTGTCTGTTTGAAGTCCAGTTGAGCTTCAGCTTGTGGGTAGTTTTGCATGATTAAATCATTAATCCCACATCCCAAATGGTCTCTCAGCATTTCATTAAGGATTAAACCAAAGTCACATGCATCTGCTTGTTGTCTTAACCTAGACAAAAGTCCTGATATGGATTCCCTAGTTCTCAAATTGCCAGGTATAATCGATAGTGTCTCAGAATTAGAGGAGGCTTCGGCTCATAATATTCCTTGACTAAATCCATCAATTCTTGAAATGGTGCCTCAGGGAAAGTTAGGCTCCTAATAATAGAAAATGTTGCGGGTCCACAAGCTGTCAGGAGAATTAATCATTGCTTTCATCTGCGCCAATGTCATTTTCCCAGAAAAAAATAACACATTCTTTCCACATTGGGTCCAGTCTTCAACAGCAGGATTGAATAAATCGTTTCCCAAATAATTGGGAGTATACCAGGAATGCTTACCCCAACTCAAAGATGACTGTTGCAAGTGAATCTCCTCAGGAACATGCTTTACTGTCATTGCCACTGAAATAACTCCCCACAGGCTGCTATCCTGTCACCATTTATTTACATGTCGAATGTCTTCAACACAGATCCAGCTCCCTTAGAACCAGCTCTCAGAGTGAACAGGATGTCTGACGCTCATGTTTATATCTGTCAGCCAGGGCTCTCTGATTGGGGCAGTTAATCTGGTCCAATCAGGGAACTCATTCTATGGCATCCACCTGGCTGACCTTGTTAGAATCACTACATCGGTCGTGACCATAATTGCTATACGTATAACCTGCAGACTGAATATATATAGTGTTGGTATAAATTGGAAACATTTCCAAAAGGTTTTGTCCATATAGCTTAACAATAAGGAGGTGAGTTTTTAATCACTGTTGGGGCATGGGTGTCACTGGCTGGGCTAGCATTTATTACCCATCCCTAGTTGCCCTTGAGAAGGTGGTGGTGAGCTGCCTTCTTGAACCGCTGCAGTCCATATGCTGTAGGTAAACCCACAATATTGTTCAGGAGGTGGTGGCACAATGATAATGCCACTGGATCAGAACCCAGAGTCCCAGCCTAATGTTCTGGAGATACGGGTGTGAATCCCACCATGGCCGATGGTGAAATTGGAATTCAGTAAAATCTGGAATTAAAAGTCAGGACCAATCTCACTATTGTCGATAATCAGAAAAAGCCTAGTCTGGTTCACGAACATGTGGATCCACAGCAATGCGTAATTGCAATAAAAAACAGCGTAGAGAGCCAAGCAGTTCAATGTTAGCCTTGCCTGTGATACACACATCCCATATAAGTGTAAAACAACTGATATTACAGAGTGGGAATAGTTGTATTATGCAAGTCAATTGAAGGATTACTTTCCTCTAGAATTGATTGATTTCAGGACTGGAAAATTCTATTCAGTGGCATGTCAAGGTAAAGCTATTCTGCTGCTTCAGTGAGGCTGAAAGCAAACAGTTTTGAAATTGACAGCCATGCTTCTTGTGTCAGAAAACCTTCAGCATATTTAATTCTTCACCTTCAGTCATTCAGAACTGAACTGTGTTCACAAGTAATCACAGTTTATTTATCGTTCTGTTTTCAAAGTGGAAAGGCCTGTCCCATTATCCTTCATTTTCTCCCTATCTGTTTTCCTGTTATACTTGGTACTTTGTGTCCTGTTACAATTCTTTCCTTACTCCACTGACTGGATCCCATTCATATTAAGGATATATTTAAATTACAGTTCACGTAGTATTTTGCAAAAGGTTACTTTGGACAAATTCCAACAAAGCCCAACCCGAAAAGCTACAGTTAAATTTTAAAACCTGTAGAGTCACAGAGTTGTACAGCATGGAAATAGACCCTTCGGTCCAACTCATCCATGCCGACCAGGTATCCTAAATAAATCTAGTCCCATTTGCCAGCATTTGGCCCATATCCCTCTAAACCATTCCTATTCATATACCCATCCAGATGCCTTTTAATTATTGCAATTGTACCAGTCTCCACCGCTTCCTCTGGCAGCTCATTTCATACACGCACCATCCTCTGAGTGAAAAAGTTACCCCTCAGGTCCTTTTTATATCTTTCCCCTCTCACCTTAAACCAATGCCCTCTAGTCTTGGACTCCCCAACCCTAGGAAAAAGACTTGGCTATTCATCCTATCCATGCCCCTCATTTTATAGACCTCTATAATGTCACCCCTCAGCCTCTGATGCACCAGGGAAAACAGCCCCAGCCTATTCAGCCTTTCCCTATAGCTCAAACCCTCCAGTCCCAGTATACAATAGACCCAGTTCTGATGAAGTGTCCTGACCCGAAACGCCGTCTTTCCTGTTCCTCTGATGCTGCCTGACCTGCTGTGTTCCTCCAGCTCCACACTGTGTTGTCTCTGACTCCAGCATCTGCAGTCCTTGCTGTCTGAGTCCCAGCAACATCCTTGTAAGTCTTTTCTGAACCCTTTCAAGTTTCGCAACATCTTTAGTCCCACATAAATTGAAGGAAGCAAATAATGATATGTGAATGCGCGATTATTTAGAAGATGATCTATTGGATAAGTTCTGGAGTGAGATATTTGTCAGTGATTTTTCACGTAACATCATGATTGTACAGTCAGGCAGGGTTAAGTTGAAGCCAGTGATTACTACATTGATCATAGCAAGTGATCACAAACTGACACAGGACGGTGGAGCAAAGTTGCTCGTCCCTTGAGACAACAATAACAAAATAATTGAGAGATTCAAAGCCAGTAGATTTAAGAGGTGTATTATTTCTCTTTGTCTTGTGTTTCGCCAGATGGTTTCCGGAAGGTGGTGAATATTGAGCAAAGTGGTTTGGTGAAGCCGGAACGAGATGACACTGAATTCCAGCACTTGTACTTCCTGCGGGGTCAGGAGCACCTACTGGAACACATCAAGAGAAAGGTGGGGCATTCCCCTCACCCCTGTTTTGCCCCTCAGACAAACAGCAATCACTACTCAAAGCTCACATGCACGTTGGACCACCATTAAGCTTGTACACTATTGTGGGACAGGATACACAAGGGAATTTCTTCAACTGATGGGTGGAAGAACCAAAACATAGGTTAGAATAATCTCCAGTTGAAGAAATGACCATTCTAAACACTGTTTGTACTTGGTGTGGGCCCATAGAGTAGACTATGACACTGGGGGTGGGACTGAGATATAGGGTGCCAGGTGGGATGGGGGTGTGGGGGGGAAGGAAGGTCTGTGTCCGATGTGGGGAATGGTGGGGAATGGTGGGGAGGTGGATGCAGTTACTGGGGTGTAGGGTGACCTTACAAAGACAGCAATGAGGGTATTCAGCTACGGCAATTGGAAATGGTGCAGCCAGAGAGTGTGCTAGGATTGGAAACAAGACAGAGATGGACTGGACGAAGGGAGTTGCATGCTTTGTTTGGCTTCTGCGATACCTGATTAGAGGTTATTGTATGCAGCCACTGAAGGAGAATGCAGAGTTGCTTATTGCTCTCACAGAAATGTCTGATGGTGATTTTTGATGCAGTTTGTTATGTAAATAGGTCGGATTAATATGGTTTAGTTTGGTCAGGTGGTGAGGGACAATCAGACCAAGTCTGTGGCACCCAATCACTGTCAGGCAGACAATACCTTAATCTTGCAGGAAAAGATTAATATTTGAACATAGTGTAATGTTTTATAATCCTGAACACACAACAGAGGCAGGTAATGCCCACTGATGTCACTGCAGGAGTCATTTATTCATGTTTATGTTTATTTCATTGAGGCTTGTTGGTCCTTGCAGTGTGTAACAAATGACTTTCCAAATGCTTCATTGATTCTAAAGCCCTTTGGAACATCTGAGTGGACTGTATGCATTGTATAAATACATGTGCGTTTACAACGTTGGGAACCTTCATGAGAAGAGGGACAAAAATTAAAGACTAGTCTTCAGTCTAGACTGAACAATTAACAAATTACAAACGTACTGAGCAATACAATTGTAATCAAAATGCAACTTTGATTGCAATTGAATGAACCTACAATATAGACTGGGTTATTATTTTAATGAAAAGGCACAATTTATAGAGAGAAAAACAAATGAAGGAATATTTTGGTCAGGTTTTGAATGAAAAGCAGAATTTGATCAATATTTTCAGGGTCAGAATGTGTTGTATTTAGTGAGTATTTTGACCCAAGGTTGCTGTCAATTTGAAATGTTGGCTATTCCTTGGTTCAATACATCATCGTCAGCTCCACCTCTGCTTTCTCTGACGTTAGGTGTCAGTTATGAAGAGTGAGGAAACCAAAGTACGTCAGGAAGATGTCAGCAAGCTGCTTTACGACATGCAGTTGATGCGAGGTCACCAGGAGAGCATGGACTGTCGCCTGAAGGACATGAAACAGTCAGTATCACTCCTATGGTTAGCCTTGTAGTGAATTAGCTAGACTGCAGCACAATGGAGTCAAACCAGGTTCAGTCCACCTCCTGGGAAAAGTGGCTGGTACACATCGCTCTGGGTTTGAGTCCTGTTGGATCTCCCTGCCAAACATAATGTGGGAAATGTCTGAAAAATAGTCATCCAATCCCAAGTTAATGTGATTTCACTGTGGAAATCCACCTGGATCTGACACTAAATTAAGAAGCCAGTGAAAGTAACGATTAGAAAATGCAAGTGCCACAGGGGACTGGCCCTCTGAGGTCTGAATTAAAATGCAATATGAGAATGATGGGGTGGGAACTACTTCTGCCAGCAAACATTGTGTCGGAGGAGTTTTGTGTGACAATGAAGGGAAAAGCAGTAAAATCCTTGAAGTATGCAACATTTACTTCCTCTCACCCAATTACTCCCTGAAATGAATTGGGAACGTTTGGAAATTAACTGGAGCTGGCATTGGGTGTTGAGAAAGAGCTGGGTGTCACACCCAATGTAGCAGTCATGATGCTATTGTGCTGTTGCAATGGCTGAATGTTGCAATGCTCTCATTGAGAACCTCCGTATTCAGTTTGAGCTTCTTTACCATTGGCAGCTCTTTAACACTCTCTTTGTTTTCAGTCAGAATGAAGTTCTATGGCGGGAGGTTGTGTCTCTACGACAGAAACATATGCAGCAGCAGAAGGTGATTAACAAGGTGAGCGATCCTGTTCAGGGTCAATTTCTCAATTCTCTTGTCTTTTCCACTCTATAAAGGCTTGGAAGAATTAGTTGGGCACCTGCTCCAACGTCTTTGAGGATTTATCTCCAAAACCACACAGGAGGGGGATACAGAGGCTTGAATCTTTTGTTTTGTCTGATGTCTTGCTCAAAAGAGGCTGGGACACCTGTGGTGACTCTTCAGGGCAAGGTTCAGTGTCTCTTCTTCCAATCAGGCAACTTGGAGGGCAGCAATGGGCCTTCCTCTGAAGTAAAGTGCCTGAGGCACAGGTCCTGCCCAGTGAGAGAGCTCTCGGACCTGGCAGTGCCAACACAAGGACAACCAAGATGGCAAGACTGATGTCATGGAGTGGGTGGGAGACGTCATAGGGAAGGCCAGCCAGGAGGTCTTGGAAGTTAGTCTGTGTGGAGTGAGGAAGGCTGTGGGATTCTGCGATGCCCCTGCCTCACCTAATTAAGTTGCTGCATCCAGGCCTGATACCCCCTAGAAAAGGGGACTCGCAGCACAGTCTTTTCCTGAATTTATATCCCTCCCTGTGCCCCTTTGGAACAGCATGTATATTTTGTGTGTGCACTGGTGGTTTTGTCACTTCAGTAGTATGAAGATTTTTAACGGCCTGTGTTTGTGCCCCAGTTCTGTAGCACCTTACCGATTTTAATAAGTGAGTAAACAGTGCTTTAGTAAAGAACAGGCTGAGAAAACTGAGTATTACTGATCAGGTCATTCATAGCTGGTGAAGTGGGGTGAAGTTTTACAGAAACTTACCATCAGAAGTAGGTGAATCCTTTTCTCCTCATGACACTCGCCCACAACCTCACTTTTACTCTGATGCTGGCAGAGGCCTGGGAATCTGCCTGCAATTTTAACTGGAAAATTCTCTATTCCATAGGGTGATGTCAAAGGTTGTAAATGCAGGCAATTGAGAGACTGTTTGAGGGGTGATTGGATCATTGGAAAGAGAGGTGACAGAGATTGGTTCAGAGAAACTATCGAGTGAGAGACATATAGTCATAGAGATGTACAGCACGGAAACAGGCCCTTTGGTCCAACTCGTCCATGCTGACCAGATATCCTAAATAAATCTAGTCCCATTTGCCGGCATTTGGCCCATTTCCATCTAAACCCTTCCTATTCATACACCCATCCAGATGCCGTTTAAATGTTGTCACTGCCTTTGTCTGACTTCCTCCTTTTTAAAGTGCTGTTGTTTTGATCTTTTTCTTTCCTCAAAGTTCCAAAACAATGCAACATCTTATAAACCAGAAATTACTGCTTCTAGACTTCGAAGAAATCAGCTCCAACATTGAAACTACCTCAAAAAAAAAAGAAACTCTTACAGCTGCAAGTTTTTTCCCATTCTCCACCTTGGATTACCCAGAATCCTATGGATTTGAACTCAATGGGCTGAATGGCCTGTTTCCCCCACTGTAGGGATTCTGTGATTCTGTGATTCTCCTTCTCCCCCTCTCCCCTTAGCTGGAGGTGTGGTGACCCTCAGGTTCTACCACCACCAGCCATCTCTTTCTCTCTCCTCTGGGACAATGGCGACTTTACTCTATTTTAGTTGCAGGGCAAGTGTGACTGTGGGTGGCATTTGGCACAGTGGTTAGCACGACTGCCTCACAGCACCAGGGACCCAGGTTCGATTCCATCCTCAGGCGACTGTCTGTGTGGAGTTTGCACATTCTCCATGTGTCTGCGTGGGTTTCCTCTGGGTGCTCCAGTTTCCTCCCACAGTCCAATGATGTGCAGGTTAGGTGAATTGGCCAGGGTAAATTGCCCCATAGTGTCCAGGGAAGTGCAGGTTAGGTGGGTTAGCCATGGAAAATGTAGGGTTATGAGGATAGGGTAGGGGGCTGAATCTGGACTGGACACCCTTTGGAGGGTCGATGGAGTCTTGATGGGCCGAATGGTCTCTTTCCACACTGTAGGGATTCTATGGTTCTATGATGGCATCCGTTGAGGTGTGTGTTTTGGGGGAAGAGAGTTTACTGAAGCACTAACCAAAAGAAACATATGAACAGGAAGGGTAACTGCAGCATTGATTGAGTGTGTGTGTGGTTGGAGGCAGAATTTGTACAGTTGACCTCCCCATGCCCTGCTGATTGACCTGAGCTCAGGAAAATGCAGCAGTTGTGACCTGCCCTGTCATGATCTGCTGACTCACCGTGCTAACACCTGCCTCTGATCTCTGTTAACAGCTGATTCAGTTCCTGCTCGGCCAGCTCCAATTGAACCACAACACAGTCGGGCTGAAGAGAAAGCTGTAAGTATTGAGAGCAGCAGCAGAGTGTGACTGATTCCCATTCACCGGACCCAAGCTTGCTTCTGAATGATCAGGTGACCTGTTACCATGTGAACACTGAGTGAATAGGTTCAGAACGCTGAGTAAGAGCTGATGACCCAATTCATTCAGCTCTGGGTGCTGTGGTGAGCAGATATCAGAATGTGTTATACAATAAACCCTGCCAACTCAGCCTCTGTTATTTCAGGGCCTTGGGACTGAGGTTAAGAGGAACTTTTGTTTCCTATTGAATTCAGGCCAGAGTATTGGGAGGAGGAAGGCAGTGTGCACCAAAATTCAGAAACTGAATGCTGCAGGCTCATCAATTTACTTCAGTCGTGTTTTGAAGCAGTGATGTTGGAGATTAAATCAATGATTAAAATACCAGAGCCCAGCCCTGAGAAGCCTGGGGCTAAATGTTTTGGCAGGAATGTAAGTCAGGAGGAAGGAATGGAAGGGGCTGGGGGCCAGATTTCATGGTACCAACCAGTGTGTCACCCTACCCCCAGCCCCTCCCACCCTCCCCTACACCAGGCCTTAGCCCATAACCCTCATCCCCTAACCCCCATCCTCAACCCTATTCCCATTCCAAACCCCATTCCCATTCGCAACTAATTTAGAGGTGAGTTCGGGGCTGACAGGACTTCTTACATCTATGAACACGTGTGGACTTTTAAGAATCTCAATGGCTGTAATTAAAAGAGGCCAAGTAGAATGTTTCAACTAATGCAATTTTTCTGAATTGTTGAGGGAGCAGGTGAGCTGGAAGTAGGTATCCAGCGCCGGGGTTGGGAGGGGAGTGAGAGGCATGGCCAATGCTCCAGGCAGGTGTAGGGGGCCGTCCTCCATTCCCTCGATGTGGGCACAGATATGAGGCCGTCCTGTCAAGAGATTCTCCGTCCTTCCCTCCCTCCGTCCCTCCCAGCACAGAGGTGACACTGCTGCCAAAACCACTCCTTATTTTTAAAGGATGGTGAGAGTGAGCGTCCGTGATGAAGCACCCAGTCAGTTACTTCCCGTCCCCTGCAGCATGATGCTTCTTTCAAAGTGCAAACTCTTTGATTGACCCTGAAGATTCGAGACGATCTGAAACCCCTGCAGAGAGCCCATCCCCATGCCAGTTGAAGGGGTGGATTTGTGAAAACCCCAAAGAGTGACTCTGCCCCAGGTACTGCCACAGAACTCTGAGGTAGTTCCACCTCCTGTTTCCTGCCCCAGAGGAGGGGACAATCCCCAGGATTGGCATGTGGGCAAGAAATACTCACTGAAACCCAAGACCTTCCCACAAGTAAACTCCTCCATTCCCCAGAGAATATCTTGACACATTCTGCCTGCAGCAATCTGTCAAAGACATCCAAAAGATAATGCAAAATGCAGCTACCTCCCTCCACAGATGTACAGGAATAGGAATTGTGTGATAATTGGAAGCGATAAGGTGATGAACAACCCCAAGAACACATTCTAATGTTGGTATTCCAATGATGGTGATCAATTATACAAGCTTTATTCTGGCTATATCTGAAATCACCAGATGGGAATACTGCACAGAGTTGACTCTCAGGAATTATACACATGTGTGCCTTCCAAGATGATCCCTCGAAAGGTGGTTAAAGAATTGAGGATGGGGTGAAGGACTGGGAAGCCTGCATTCAGGAAGACTGGTGTCATCTGTGGTGGGGGAGGTTTACTGTAGTCATGTGGGGTCTGGATGAGTTCAGCTGCTCTATCTGGCCCACAGGGAACTGTTAGATATTAAGAGAGAACTTACTTATCTCGAAATTCCCTGCCTATGGATCCGGGCTGCCACCAGCTGTTGCTGGCCGTTTTGGGAATATACCGGATGTGATTCAGTGACGCATACACACCCTGTTGCTGGCACGTCTTTGCTGTGAAATTATGTCCCCTTTCCCGAGGAACAGACAGCCCCCCTTTTCCATATCTCTCCGAGATTTTGGCGCTCCACTTAATCTGGCCTCTTTTGCATCCCCAATTTTAATCCCTACACCATTGATGGCTCTTCAGCTACTAAGCTCTGGAATTCTCATCTGAAACCTCTTTGCCTTTCTCTTCTTTGCATTCCTGATCCTGTCCTAAGCCCTCTTTATATGGTTAAGTGTTGATGATGCTCCAGTGAAGATACTTGGGCTGTTTTAAGGCGCTAAATAAATGCAGTTTGTTGTTGCCGAGCAGTCAGGAATCCAATGTAAAGCCCGCACACGTTACTGTCAGTGGACTGGCTGGTTAAAATTAACCCTTGTGACAGATTTGTGATAAAAGTGTTTCATCAGTGTAGTATTTCCTGGCCCTTTTTGAAAACTCATTTAGGATACAAGTAGTTATATTATTGTAATGAGGTATTCTTTCTTCCTTAATACCTCTTATGCCCAGTAATTTTCTTGATAGTTTTATTTTGCTTTACAATGAATATTGACATTAGCACCAAAAGTGGAGAGAGTTTGTTTCTTCAGGCCTTGTCCATTCACAAGAATTTCTGTTAAATACATCATTCCAAAGGAGAATGTCCTGTACCTGACTCCCTCACACTGCCCACAGTGTCATTTTTCCTGAGGCATTTGATATTGAATTGACTTCCAACAATTATATAAAATGACCAATTTTCCAGGCATGACCACCCAGTAAACACTCTTCTGTCTTCCCTTCAGAACGAGCTGCTATCACACACTTTATTCCATTGTTTAAAGCCGGGGTTGATTCTATTGTGTCATAGCATTATCTGATGGGGTTGTTAACTCTGCTTTGACAAGATCATCTCCTGCCTCTAACTGTTCAGAAAATCATCAGGTTTTCTCCCTGTCTTTAATGTTTTCATACACAGCTAGATCATTGGTTTCCTGAAAAATCATCATGGTAACAGACACTGAATTGCGATGACGGAATAAATATACAAGTCTATTATAATGTCATAACAATCATTAAAATAAAACTAAAATTGAAATAATAAAAGGATTGCACAATTATGATCAATATGTTGCACAAATGCAGGTCCACATAAGGACCTAGAAGTGGGTATGTTAAAAGAATTTGAGAAAGTACACCATTCTGTCATACTTTCTGATTGTTCCCCTATGTTGATTGCACCGCTAAAAAAAATCTTTATTTTGTGTCCAATCCAACGCTAGCAACCCTATAACACAAGTCCTCCTGAAAAGACCAGTGACTGATTAAGTGATCATTTGTCACATTCGAAGCTTCATTGTTTCAAATCTGCATAAAACATCCTCAGCACTCGTCTTCAGTCTGAGTAATAATACCGCTTGCCCCTCAGTGAAATTAAACACTGGTTCCCGCGATGGCCGAACTGATGTATGGATAGAGACTGGATCAGTTAGGACTATTTGTTCACCGGAGTTTAGAAGAAGGAGGGGGGAATCTGATAGAAATGAACAAAATCCTCATAAGACTAGAATGGTTGAACATAGGAAGGATGTTCTCAATGATCAGGGAGTCCAGAACCAGGGGTTACATTTAAAGGATGTAGGCTAGGCCATCTATGACTGAGATGAGGAGAAATGTCTTCACCCAGAGAGAAGTGAGTTGATGGAATTCCCTGCCTTGGAAAGGCCAAAACATTGAATATTTTCAAGAAGGAGTTCAGTATTATTCCTGGATATAAAGGAATCAAAGGATATGGGAAGAAAGCAGGAACAGGGTACTGGCTGGATTGTTAGCTATGACCATTTTGAAGGAGGAGGTTGAAGGGCTGAATGGCCTATTCTGCTCCTATTTTCTGTTTCTATGTAAACACCGTTTATGTTTAATAGATAATCAGTATGTAACACTTGGGACGGGCTCTTGTGGCATTGTGGTAGTGTCCCTACCTCTGGTAACACAACTTTCAGAAGGTTCACATTCCACCTGCTCTAGAGGTGTGAATAGACTGATTAAAAATATCTTTAACATGCGTGTAAAACTGACGTACTTTTGATCTTTCTAACATATTTTGATATACAGAAGCAGCATGAAACTTACTGCTATTACTTCAGTACCATCTGTTTGATTGATTTGATTTATTGTCACATGTACCGAAGTATAGTGAAAAGCTTTGTTTACGAGCGGTACAGGCAGATCATAGTAAGCAAAGGATGTACAGATCAAAATGACTTAGAGGCATACAGGTTACATCACACAGGGTGTGCGCTAGGCGAGAACAACATTAGCAAAGATCAGCATTATTTGAAGCTAGAGAGTCCATTCATCGGTCTGATAATGGCTGGGAAGAAGCTGTTCCTGAACCTGTTTGTGCATGTGATCAGGCTTCTGTATCTTCTGCCAGATGGAAGAGGTTGGAGGAGATCATTGAAGGGTTGCAATGGGCCTTTGATGTTGGCAGCCTTTCCGCAGCAGCGAGCCCTGTAAATGGAGTCCATGGATGGAAGGTTGGCTCCCGTGATGGCCTGGGCTGTGCAGACTACCTTCTGTAGATTTTTACAGTCCTGGGCATGTACCTGGACAGTATGCTTTCAATAGTGCATCTGTAGAAGTTGGTGATGGACCGTATGGACATGCCAAATTTCCTGAGCCAACTGAGGAAGAAGAGGCTTTGTTTTCCTTCTTGACTGTCACATCTGCATGGGAAGTCCAGGACAGGTTGTCAGTTATTGTCATTCCGAGGAATTTGACGCTGTCCACACACTCAATCCCAGTTCCATTGATGCAGATGAGGGTGTGTTTTCCTCCTTTCCACTATTAGGCATCTCTCTAGACACACACAACTTCTTCACAGGTATCAGAATTCTGGATTGGATATTGTAGTTCCACAACAGCAGGGTGAATACTACATCTCTCATAATGCAGTTCCGATTCTGTCCACAGCAACTGGAAAGCTCCAGGTGAAATTTCCACCTGGGGTCCCAGGTCCAGGTGGTAGGATTAGCTCACACCGGGGAAACTTTGCACGTTTCTGACAGTTAGTTTTTAAAAGTTCTATTTTGTGGGATGTGAGCATAACTTGCCTTGTGATGGAAGTGGAGAGCTACCTTCCTGAACTTCTGTGTTTGTATACTGCAGCCATTGCGATGATGTTGCCAGTAGCGTTGATGTAAGTAGTTCGGTAGTTAGTTTCAAGGCTTTTGGTTCTGTAGGTTATTGAAACTCTCTTGTCCTGATTCCTTTTGACAGTAGCTGACTGGCAGCACTCGTAGTGAGGGAGAGTCTTTTCCCTTTGCTTTACGTGCTATGCAGAGGTGTTTAAATGGCTTTTCTCAGAGCTAAGACCCTCTTAGCACAAGAGTTCACACATTAGGTATGTCAGCTCACTGAAACACACAGATCAGGATTGAAGTTCACTTTTAACTCTCTCTCTTTCTATTCTTGAAAAGGGGCGTAAATATAAATAATTCTGTCACCCGGACTGCTGCTATTAACCTTCATTTTCAATCTGCGAAACTACCAAGAGATGACAAGTTCAATTTATAGAGCATTTTCTCCCTTGAGAGTTTCTTTGGCACCTCATCAGGTGTGACATACAGTGTGCCTCTCTGTAGGAAGACACTGAATTTATATGTGCAGTCAACTTTTGAATATGTGTTCTTCCTTAAAAAAAAATCCATGTTTTTAAAGTTCACTATATCCATAGATGACAGAGGTTATGATAGTTATGACAACTGCCCAATCCTAATTGTCTTTCGCAGGCTGTAACTGTCAGGATTCTGCAAGAAACAGTACTTGGGCCTCAGCTACTTCCAATTTGTATTAATGACTTGGATAAGGGGACTGAGAGCAATATTATCCACGTTTCCTGATAGCCAATGGTAGGTGGGAAAATAATTAGCAAGGAGGACACTAAGATACTACAATGAGAGATAGGTTAAATGAATGCTAAGATGGAATATAATATTGGGAAACGTGACATTTCTGACATTTCCCACTTTGGTAGGAAAAATAGAAAAGTGGAAAAGTAAAAGTAGATTGGGAATTGTTGGTAATCATCCACATGAAGCACTTAAAATGTGACATGTTGGTAAACAAGCATTTACAGAGTCATAGAGAAATACAGCATGGAATCAGACCCTTCAGTCCAACATGTCCATGCCAAACAGATATCCTAAATTAATCTGGTCCCATTTGCCAGCATTTGGTCCATATCCCTCTAAACCCTTCCTATTCATATACCCATCCAGATGCCTTTTAAATGTTGTAATTGTACCCGCCTCCACTGCTTCCTCTGGCAGCTCATTCCATACACACAACACCCTCTGCGTGAAAATGCTGCTCCTTAGGTCCCTTTTAAATCTTTCCCCTGTCACCTTGAACCTATGCCCTCTAATTTTGGACACCCCCACCCCAGGGAAAGACCTTGCCTATTCACCCTATCCATGTCCATCATGATTTCATAAACCTCTATTAAGTCACCCCTCAGCCTATGACGCTCCAGGGAATATAGCCTCAGCCTATTCAGCCTCTCCCTATTGCTCAAACCATCAAAACTCTGGCAACATCCCTGTAAATCTTTTCTGAACCCTTTCAAGTTTCACAACATCCTTCCTATATCAGAGAGATCAGAATCGAACGCAGTATTCTAAAAGTGGCTGAACCAATGTCCCCTACAGCCAAAATATGACCTTCTAAAACCTATACTGACCAATAAAGGCAAGCATACCAAACACCTTCTTCACTATCCTATCTACCTGCGACTCCACTTTCAAGGAACTATGAACCTGCACCCCAAGATCTCGTTGCTCAGCAACACTCTCCAGGATCTTACCATTAAGTGTATAAGTCCTGCCCTGATTCGCCTTCCCAAAATGCAACACCTGACATTTATCTAAATGAAACTCCATCTGCCACTCCTTGACCCATATTCCCATCTGATCAAGATCCCGTTGAACTCTGAGGAAACTTTCTTGGCTATCCACTACGTCTCCAATTTTTGTGTCATCTGCAAACTTATTAACTATACCTCCTATGTTCACATTCCAAATCAATTATATAAAGCAGAGCAAATGGTACGTTATCTTTTATTACAGAACAATTGGAATACAAGTCTAAAGATGTCTTAGTGCTATTGTGCAGAGCTTTTGTGAGACCAAACCTGATGCACTGTATGCAGTTTTGATCTCCGTGTTGAAGAGAGGGGTGTTCAGACAAATTGCTGGGAAGAATTTCATGAGAAAAGATTGACCAGGCCCATATTCCCTGGAATTTAGAAATATGAGGTTTAATATAATTGAAACACGTAAATTCTAAAGAGGCTTGACAGGTAGATGCTGTGAAAATGTTTCCTGTATAACATGGGAGCAGTGTTTCAGAATAAGGGGCGGGAAACTTGGGATTGAGGTGCGGACAAAATTTTTCATTCAAAGGTTGTTAATTCTTGGAATTTTCTGTCTAGAGAGTGGTGGATGTCCAGTGGTTGAGTCCATTCAAGTCAGATATTGATAGATTAATGGATACTAAAGGAATCACACAATGTGGGGACAGTTCAGGAAGGTGTAGCTGATGCAGAAGATCAGGCATGATCTCATAGACCAGCAGAGCAGACTGTAAGGACCAAATGGCCTGTTCCAGCTCCTGTTTATGATGCTGTTGACTTTCTGGCTACATTCAGCAATTTTTTTTCAGAAATCTGTTAATTTCTGTGTGTCATTTTGTTGTCATTCAGCTCGGTGAACAAAGTCAAAGGCAGCCAAGAACAGTGCAAATCTATCATTTGAACAAATTGTTTAGTTTGTGGTATTAGAGATAGTAGGAACTGCAGATGCTGGAAAATCTGAGATGACAAGGTGTAGAGCTGGATGAACACAGCAGGCCAAGCAGCATCATAG